TCAAGCCTACCCATATAGACATGTGGCTGTACGTAATATCTCACAAGGCGAGAGGGACTACGAACCGGTCCTTATGTGACCTAGGCGAGTATCTTGCACAGGAATCCTCTCCAGGCATCCATGTCATGGTAAACTACATCCATAGTTTACCACCACCCGCCCCATGTTGAGGTTTAGTTTTAGGTTTAATAATTTTAAGTTCCATTATTATCCTTAAATCTATTCATAGCGTGGAGCTCACAAAATAACAAGATAACCATTTATCTTAATCTAGCAATAATCATACCACGATGATCGAGCTCATATTCTAGGGTAATAATCTTATAGTCATGATTTAGCATTTTAGTGGTTTAAAGCAAGATGGTAGGGAGGGGAGCTAGGACTTGCCTTCATCGTTGTCACCTTCTGGTACGTCTACAAAATTTGGGTCCTCATCCTCTTGACGATTACCATCGTTTGTCGGCGTATTGATCGAATAAGACTACCACTAACCACAAAAGAAAAGGGCAAAAGCAAGCATAGAACAATATGGCGGTACTAGGTGCAATGATAGGGTTGGATTTTAGATGAATTCTAGAGGTGGTTTCATGTTAAAAGGAGTTAGGGTTTAATAGTTATATATTTTAGAAGATTATTCTATAGCTATTTAACTAGGTAGAAATTTATGTGCATTTTTTGGTGCATGAAAATATGTGCAAACTACATGATTATATTCCCTAATGCATCTAGTTTATTTACAAATTTTTTGGGAATTTTTCTAAGCTAGGAAGATGTATTTTTAGCTCTTTGTGTACACTAGCCGGGTGTGCCCCATATTTTCTGAAGTGTACCCCGTGCTGTGTGTGTGGTGTGTGTGTGTGTGTGATAGGTGGACCAGCCCGCCATGTCAGTAGAAGACGGTGGCATTAGCATTATGGCCTTGGGCCCATGCGATAGAGGAAGAAAGGGGGAGGGAGGTGACGGACAGGGACGGAGGGGTGACGGCAACGCCGTTCCCACCTGGCCCCACGTGACAGCAAGAAAGGGGACGGGAGAGAGGAGAATGGGGATGGGTGTTGGCTGTGCCGGTGACATAAATAGGGGAGGAGGCGCTGAGCTCGCCAGAGTGGGTTACACTGGCGGCGTCAGCCCTCGGTGGTGATAGTCGAGTGGTGGACGGTGTTCACGTGGTCATGCCGTAGCTGGTGGTGGGGTCTCCGATGGCAGCGGGTGCCCACGGCGGTGGTGGCGGCTCGCTGGAGAGGTTGCGGCGGCGTCGTGCGGTGGACTCAGCCCTAGAGGCCTTAACCAAAACAACTAACTACGTGTATGTGTGTGCGAGTGAGTGAGGAGTGTAGTGGTGGTGGTGTAGTGCCATGGGTGGCCTTGCCGTTGATGGCCGATGGCCATGATGGCTCGGTGGAGCAGGACACACGGTGGCAGCACAACATAGAGACATAGACTATCAACTAGCTATAGCAATAGGAAGAGGAGAAGCTTGGGGACTCATTGGTCATTCCAATCGGCCAAGGGCACAGCGGAGAAGAAGAAGAGGGGAGGTGGCGCTAATGGCGTCGGCGAACTCCCGAATTGGGGAAACCGGGGAAAGGTGGAGAGGTGGAAGAGAGGGGGAGACGGTGTGGTCCCACCCTCGGTGGAGCGAATGGTGGAGAGGGCGAGGCGAGAGCGTCGTCGGTCGGGCCTATTTATAGGGCAGCTTGGTTGGTATCCCGGCGGTGAGATATTTTCCCGAACGCTCTTATCCACCACGTGCGCTCATGGTTGACCTCGTCGGTCACTTCACCATAGTTGGTGCTTGCCCATGTGCATGGCAAAATGCCTTGGTGGCTACTCTGGTGGCTCAGCGCAGAGACGACCATGGCGTCGGCATTGATGAGCTCACAGTGAGGGAGGAGAGGGGAGAGGAGGAGAAAAGAAGGTGCCGTGGGGTCCCGTGGTCGCATCATGTCGCCGTTTACCTCCACTGGCACCGAGGTGGTCCTGACGGAGCATTGACGCGTGGCGCTATGCCATGTACGGCTGCCGGCTTCGAAGGTGGATGACGAAGCTGACACGTGGGGCCCGGGCATCGAGGAGAAGGAGAGGGGGAAGGGAGGGGCGCGGGCGCATGTTGGGCCAGAACTAGGCCGCGGCGGCTACGACGCTGGTTGGGCTGGCTCATGTGGGAGAAGGGAAGGGGAGAGGGGAGGGAATGGGCTGCTGCTATGGGCTGAAAGGGAGAGAGAGGAGAGATTGAGCCCAAGTGGCTTTTCTTATTTTTCTTTCTCTTTTCTATTTCCTAGATTATATATATGCATATGTTTATATGATTTGAATTCAAATTTTGAATGCATGAGTAAGCAAAAGTGTACCACCATAAGTTCAACAAGTTAAGCAAACATTCACACACAAAGTTTCACACATCAAATTTTGTTTTCCTATGCTACTTTATTTTGTAAATATTACCTATGTCGGTTATATATTCTAGTTCCTATGCAAATTTTAAAAAAGTTCAAATTTTTAGTGATTTTTAAACTAGGTCAAAATTTTAGGGTGTTACAGATGCCGACTCCTTAGCCAGTCGGATAGCTTCACGACAGCACCTGCCAGGAGATGTCCTGGTCGAAGTGCTTGAAAAACCCTCTTCCCGATCTCAAAGTTGGGTCCAAACCCCACGCTTGATCCGTCAAGCGATGAGGCAATACTCAGTGAATTCCTTGGGAAGTCTATGCTGGGCGATCCAGCTTGTGCTGCCGCTCTAGTTGGAAACGGGGAGAACTGGATGGATCCAATCTGGGCGTACCTCACAAACCAGGATACTCTGGTCGATGGTGCAGATATGGAATGAACCAGCCGTAAAGCCATGCTCTATACAATGGTCGACGATATCCTCTACAAATGGGCCCCCAATGGGGTTCTTCTCAAATGCATCACACACACTGAGGGCATTAGTTTGCTCCATGACATCCATGGAGGAATCTGTGGGTCCCATATCTCTCATCGGGCTTTGGTTGGTAAAGCCTTTTGACAAGGATTTTATTGGCCAACAGCCCTTCAGGACGCCGCCAACTTGGTCAGAACTTGCGAATCATACCAATTTTTTGTGAAGCAGATACACCAGCCGGCTCAAGCGTTCAACACCATTCCACTATCTTGGCCATTCACCACATGGGGTATTGATATACTAGGACTATTTTCAAATGCCCGAGGAGGATACAAGTTCCTGATCGTTGTCGCCGATACTTTTACCAAATGGGTTAAGGCAGAGCTGGTCGGACGTATCACCAAGGAAAACACAGTCAAAATCTTGCATGGCATAGTAATGCGCTTTGGTGTACCCAACCGATTAATATCGGACAACGGAACACAATTTATAAGCAAGATGTTTGAAAATTTCTATGCTGCCTATGGAATAAAACATCCTCGGTCTTCAGTAAACCACCCGATGACCAACGGAAATATCAAACGAGCAAATGGTATAATACTACAAGGGATTAAGACCTAAATTTTTTATAGGCTTAAAGCCTATGACAAAAAGTGGGCACAAGAAGTCCCGATAGTATTAGTATTATGGTCAATGTGCACGACATCTAGCCGCGCTACGGGCGAAACACCATTCTTCCTTGTGTACGGTGCCGAGGCAATACTCCCACTAGACATACGACTTAAGTCACCACAAGTATTGATGTTTTCCGAAGAAGAGCCTGAGTGTCGTGATCTCAACTTAATGCTGCTCAAAGAAGAGCGTGATAGAGCCGCTTACCGAGTACATCGATATCAGCAATCTCTTCGGAAATATCACAACCAACATGTGCGTAGTTGAGCTCTAAACATCGGGATTTAGTACTAAAAAATGACCAACATACAAAGGATAAAACAAAACTGTCTTCTCCTTGGTAGGGACCGTATATCGTGGTTGAGATAGCCCGCCTGGGGCTTACAGATTGGCTAAAATCGACGGTGACATACTCCCAAATACGTGGAATATGGATCAACTATGGCGTTTCTACGCCTAAAGATAAGTTTTACTTTAATTTTTGCACTGTTCAGTCAACATTTCTTCTACATGTACGGTTTAATATCTTGCCCCTCCGTAATTTGCATGCTCGGGGGCTGGAGCCTACCGGTAGCGTCGTGCGAGCCCGTTGAAAACTCAGACAAAGGCTCGGGGGCTACCTTGGTTGATTATTTGAATGTTATTCAAGCGGATCATTGCTCTTTATCTAGAATTTTGTCCAAATGTTCACATAAAGAGCAACAAAGCTGCTAAAATTTATCTACTAGTCTTTACTCTTCATCTGAATCCCAATCCAGATAAAGAGTCGGGGGCTACCATATACATATTCACTAGTCTAAATTTTTTTCGCTCATGCAACGCTAACTTGCCCGAATCCACATAAGTGTCGGGAGATATATAAACCCATGGCCTATGTGCAAAGGGAAAAATAGTGACATCTTCGGTTAACAAACGAAAATTTGCTAAAACCCGATCAGCTCGGGACAAACAGATCAACTCATTGAACCATTAATAATCCAACGACATGAGTCGTTATCAGCCTATTACTATGCAGACAATGTGCAAACATTAAAATGCAAAAATAAGACTGACAAAAGATTTTTTCTTTACTAATAAACTTCGCTGAAGCATGGATTTATAAAAAGAGGTATCCCCAAAGCCCTAATTAACTACTCTTAGACCGATCACCAAGTCGGATCATAACAAATCCCGATCCGCAAGGATGACGAGTTCCTTGCGGTACAGGGACAGAATGGCCCGATCAAGTTAACCGTCACCAAGCTCAGACGCTTGGTGGAGGACTGGGAGGCACGGTGGCTTGCTCCAGCGGCCCGTCGTCTACCGCGGCGCCCTCCTCCTCGTCGCTTGAGGCGACCTCCTTCGCCTCGCCGGTGTCGGCTGCTGCGACGTCTTCATCGTCACTTAGTAGGTCCACCAGGGCCCCATCGCCGGGGATTCCGATGGCTTCCCAGTTCAGCTCGATGAAGAGCTTCTAGGCAAACTCCTAGTCGCCGCTCGTATTAGGTACGGCGGCAACTCGAGGAGGAGATGGGCTGGCTTCAGAGGGACCGATGTTGGCGGCGGCAGCAATGGAGGCAACCAAACCATCTGACTCGTCATCAGAGAGCTCAATTACTCCCCACGGCGGCACACTATCCTCCGGCGCCCCTAGGATCGGGGCGGCGATCTCCTCGGTGCTCGCCGAGGCCTCTCCTTTCTCCTTCTTCATGATCATGGCCTCCCCTTAGGAGAGCACCGGGGCTGAGGATGAAGTAGGGGTAGGTGCGGCAAGCGACGCCAGAGGCGGAGATGATGATGCCAAGGGGGACGATTGAGGCAAGACCCCGATGGACCACCCGGGCGAATCCCCGAGTAGAAAGCGAGGGATCTTGCGGTGGCGACCGGCAATTTTTGTCCTCATGATTGCAAACGTGGAGACACTAAGTGGATCTAAACCCAACACTTAGATGCCCGCTTATAAAGCTGAGGCCGGGGTGATTGGGAAGGCAAGCCAATCATCACTCATGAACCGAAGCGATGCATTAATCGCAGGACACGCGTAATCCTCAGAAGACGAGCTGGCGTGGCCACTTGAGAGCCTGCAACCACCGCCTAACTTGGGAAAAGACCGCGTTGATAAGACAAGATGACTCCTGAGTATGGCTTACTTTATTCAACAGCTCATTAGCCAACAATGCGACTCTGCAACTTCAACCCGACTAGCCTTGGGTAAAGGTTGGACCTTTTTCAGTAAAAGTCCCGATTCCAAACACCCTTGAAGGCCCCGAGTATAGGAACTGAGTCTCACTTGGCCAACAAGCTCGGGGGCTCCTGACGGTGCCATACTCCTAGGATTCCCGACTACCGGATATGCTGGCTACCGAATCTGTACCGAAGAAGACCCAAAGGTTCACGACTCGCCTATTCAAGGAAGGATATCTGGAGATCATGCCAAGACTCTAACTAGGGCATGACTATATAACTTATGGGGCAAGTAGGCCTCAGATATAAATAGCTAGCTATCCGCACTATTGTAACCATCGAAACTCTCATAGGAATAGCCATCTTGTAAACGCCATATCGCTATTCGACGGGATCATAATACAAACAAGTAGCAACTAGATGTACGGCTTTTACTTGCTTCTTGGGGGCCTGAACCAGTATAAATCTTGTGTCCCGACTGTGGTTGCTCTCTGCATCAAGCGAATTCCTCCAAGAATTGAATATCTGCTGATAAAAAAACACCGACACAAATATCATGCCCCTCGGGCCTAAAAGCCATCAAAGTGAATTCCATGGGGGGCTTTCTAATATCACGATGATTGCAAGCATTCATCAGCTATATTTTACACTAAGGGTGATATCAAAATATCGGCCATACAAATTCATCCACAAAAGTATGCATAACCGAAACAAATATTTCAGCTCTTGATCATCGGTAAGCAAAATAATTTGATAACCCTCCATAACAAAAAGATCCATACCAAGGATCAAAATAAGGAGCTGAGGGATAACCATGCATACCAGGGGATGAATTCCACATAGGCATAGGCAGAGAATACAGATGATGCCATGACCAATGATTTTGATGATTTGGTGAAAACCTCCAACTTGGCAATTGTTTCTTGAATCTCCTTCTCCTTTACCTTTGTTGCACCACTTGCTTGAGCATCATCCTTCTGAGCTTGAATACTTCTTTTAGGAACCCACGCCAAGCCTTTTTCTTTTAGCTTCTCTGCACTAAGCTTCTATAACTTCTTTTCTTGCCACCTTGGTACCGATTGAGCATATCGGTTTTATTTCTGTTTTGGACAGCATCCATTCTTTCTTGATTTTGGGCACTCTCACCTTATTTTGTTTAGATTTGGTATCTAGAATATCAATAGATGATTTCCCCACTTTTTTGCCACTAATAGCTAGATTTTTAAGCAATGTAATCGGCTTTTCAATAGTTGAATTCAGATCTAAATTTTTCTCCTTTCGGCCATCATACTTTACACGGTAAATTTGCTTTACCACTTTCTTCTTTGGTTGAGCTCCAGACCGATTTTGATTAAACTGTCTTCATAAGATGATAATCTCTCTAAATTCCTAGGAGCTGCATACTCTATATATTGTGGCCCTAAATATGGTGGAACATGTGCCTCTTGATCAAACCAGCTCCAAGATGATTAAGGATAAAAATATATGGGTTGTGGTCTATATGACATGAAAATTGGCTGCTCAAAAGGAGAATATGTTGTTGCTATGTGAGATCTATCTCCTTGCCAATTCCACTCTTGAGACTCACGCTTTGGAGGCATTCTTGATGATTGGACTTTGTTTAGCCCATTGGTGACATTTTCTTCTGCTACCTTCTCATATTAAGCTAGAAGTTTCTCGAACCTAAGCTTTGACCTTCTACTTCTTTATTTGTCACAACCTTTACCTCCATCAGCTTTATGGGCATCCTCCTTCTTCTTCCCATCTTGAAAGACATGCTCCAAAGGAGGATCCTTATCCGATTCCCCTTGCTGAACAGGATCAATCGGCTTTTGTTTTCGTTGGAGAGATTTCACCTGCCCCAGTGTCTTCTGGAACTGTGATAACTTTGTTATCCTTTGGAATATCTTCTATTTTCAATTCATGGACAACAACCTTATCTTCACTTGAGGGTTCCACATCTCTCTCTTGGGCATTCAAGCCTTGAGCTTTCAATGAATTGGCTAATTCAAACTAATTCGAAACCTGTTTGTCGTCAAGACCAATTGAACCCAATTGGTCTATTTGTTGAGCTTTAGAAAATCTCAATCATCCTTTATCAATGGCCGATTGGATAACCCAACGAAACATATTGCAACTAAAGGTATTATGATCAAAAGAATTATGCCATTTGCAATATGTAAGCTCTTCTAATTTTTTAACAGATGGCAAAGCATTGTGATCAATGATTCTAATAAAAGTGAAGCCCACATCTCAACCCCCGAGTACATGGCACGCAAGTGGTTGTGCAGCCCCCGGTGGTTAACCTTTGAGCAAGATGTCAAAACATGATCACAAAAAGTAAAGTCAAAGGTGTACTTTGATTTTTTTAGCTGATTCTTTTGTGGAGTCGGCTTTAAAGCTAGGCAAACGAATGGATTTGATTTGACATCAATCCATTTGGCCACACCTTTGCAGCTATTTTTGAGAAGCGTTAGCTTTGACAAACTAGCACTATCGGCCTTGCCATATGGCACAATGTGTTGGCCGATAGAATCTGAATTTGTTTTATCATCAACAAATAAAATGCCATTCTCAATCGGTCTTTTACAACTATTAGCAAGGATATCTCTAATAGATGCAAAAATTGAAATAGTATGACTAGATTGGAATTTGAACAAAATATTTGTGTTTTGTACCTTGTTGATCATGTTGGAGAAGTGCACGTCCTTGATTTGAATGATGTTGCACTTCATCTCTAGAGAACGATCAACAATAGGTGCTGAATCATCCGAACATGCATCGACGACTGCTAGAACCAAGAAAGTCAGCTTAGCCAACTAGAAATCGGCTAGGCCAACTTGGGCACCAGCAAGGGTAGTCGGCCTAGCCGACTAAAAGTTGTCCTAGCCGACTTAGGGCAGGCGACAGAGGCAGTCGGCCTAGCCGACTCAGGGCAGGCAGCAATCGTCTTAGCCGACTTTAAAGTCGGCTCAGTCGATTCTGAGTAGACAGACAACCCTCCTTTCTTACTTGTAGGGGTTTGATCTCCATCAATGATGTAATAATCACTAGATAAATGTACAACCCCCTTAGCTCCTGAAAAATCAAGTCTAGCTATTTTCTGGTGCTTTCCATGCTTTTCTATAGCAAGACTTGTTTTTTGAGATGTGATTGATTCAGAAAGGATATTGTGTTGTTCGGCTTCTGTAGCCGAACCTTTGCTTACAACCAAATCAATTCTTTCTTTCATACCCACTAGCAATCCTATTTTAGCCGATGACTCAACTATGATCGACCTTTTCTCATTGATCTTTCCAAAATATTCATAGAATTTCTCCTCTAATTGAGACCATGAACCAATAGTACATCGGGGCAAAGATGTAAACCATGCAAAGGCAATACCAGTGAGGGATAAAGGAAAATTTTGTATTCTCATATAATCTTCTTTACTGGCAAAACCCAGCTGTGAGAGATATATACTAATGTGTTCCACATCGGTCTTATCATCTTCATCACTAAATTCATAAAAATCAGGTACCCATCAACCATTAGGAGTTTTCAAGTAATCAATGTGTAGTGGGTACAGTCTTTGATATGCGGGCACCTTCCATTTAGAAAAGCCATATGGATTTCTAGTATGGGCTAAATCTTCATCGATTCGGCTTGATTTGAGAGCAACATATAAAGCCAAATCATGATTGTTTGCATGTGCACACATTGCTGAATTTTTATTGATTTGACTATAATTATTAGCAATATGTGGAGCCGAATCACGAGTTTTAGCACTCGAATGTCTTGCTGAACTTTCACTAATTTGGCTATGGTCATGAGCAAAATATGAAGGCGAACTGTGGGCATTGATCTTTGCATAAGGTGTTGCATTTTCATTGATTCAGTTATGGTTACTAGTAACACGTGAAGCCGAATCATGAGTATTAGCACTTAAATACCTTGTTGAATTTTCATTAATTTGGCTTGAGTTGGGAGTAACACATGAAGCCGAATTATAAATAGGAGCATTGGCATATGGTGCCGAATTTTGAGAGCAATTGGCTAAATAATTAGCATTGTTATAGCCAATTCTCTCATTCATCGACATGTCTTGTGGTGAAACCACATATTGTGAACTTATAGCCGATGAATAACGATTTACATGTTGTATGTTGCTAGTAGCATCAAAAGTTGAAGAATTTACAACATGCATCGGCTCTTGACCATAATATTCATAATCATAATGCGTATTATGAGGACCATTAACAAAAGTATTAGCCGATGTAACATATCTAGTATCATTACAGCTAGCAACACCAACATGAGAGCTCATAGAACTTGCAAAATAATTATTAGAACTATAAGATACATTTGCAAGCTGTATATCGGGGTAATTTGTAGTAGTTTTATGATGAACCACCTTGGTACTCCATGATTTAGAACTTGACCGCCTTGCTGAATTTTCCAATAGCAAGCACAACACGTTGCAGAATAGCAAACAGGATCACAAGGGGTCAAAACCAGATGCGATCAGTCTTTTAGGCCAAATGCAATGGTAAT